GGAACGTTTGGGATTGCTATGACCTTCGGAGTCACGGCAGTGTCTGGTATCTACCACGGCCGAACTTGGTGTATCTTTGGGGGTGTAGCTCAGTGGTAGAGTGCATGGTTTCCACGTACAAGGCCTTGGGTTCGTTCCTCTGCACCTTCACCTTTTGGAAACCCTGGTGACATAGTGGTTAAGAGCTACAGCTGCTAACCAAAAGGCTGGCAGTTTGAACCCAGCAGGCACTCCTTGGAAACCGTATGGGGCAATTCTACTCTGTCCTATAGGGTTGCTATAAGCCAGAATTGACTCGACGGCAACGGGTTTTTTTTTTATTTTTTATGACCTTACATCTTTGAAAATCTTCTAGTAATTCCAGTGTCTCTGCCTCTATACCACACCTTCCCAACAGCCTTTTGCACATCTGTCCTCCGCAGTCTCCAAACTCAGGGAATGAAAGGCCGGGTTTCTGGTGGGAGGGAGGCAGATCCTGTGTGCCAGTGGGCTCCCTGGGTGCCCTGATTAAAGGAAAGAACTGAAAAAACAAAAACAAACAAACAAAAAAAAACGCCTGGTGGGGAGATAAGGCTACCTGGTGCACGCTCCCAAATCCGGCAGCGCTGGTCAGTCCATTTGCTCCTTGATAGATTCCGGCTGTGCCTGTGGGGAAGAGGAACAGGGATACAGATGAAGTCTCTTGCAGCTGGGGAGGAGCGTGAAGGAGAAGGATGCAGCAGAAAGGTGGGGTCTTTGGGGTCTGAAGGCTGGGATAGAACCTGTGACCTTTGCAAGTTACCAAATATCTCTGAACCTCAGTTTCCCTGACAAACGAAAGCTATAAATAATAGCACCTTCTTCACAGGGTTGTGGTGAGAAATAAGACAACACAGATTCTAGGCCTCCTAATTATGTTTTGGGCTTCTGTTTCCCCATCTATCAAACAGGACTAGAAATGAGAATACTTCTACTACTAAGGAGCCCTGGAGATGCAATGGTTAAGGACCTGGCTACTAACCAAAAAGGCTGGCAGTTTGAACCCGTGCAGTGGCTCCGCAGCAGAAAGACCTGGTGATCTGCTCCCCGTAAAGATCACAGCCAAGAAAGCCCTACAGGGCAGTTCTACTCTGTCACATGGGGTCGTGGTGTGTTGAAATCGACTCAAGGGCACCTAACAACAACTACGAGAAAATGCTATTTAGTGAATGAATGAATGAATGAATGAATGAGTGGGTGTCATTTTAGATAGGGTGGACAGGGATGGCATTTGAGCTGAGACTTGAAAGACAAGAAGAGGCCAGTGATGGGAACATCCTGGTGGGAAGAGTATTTCCATCAGACAAACAGTGAGAGCAAAGACCCTAAGGCAAAGATTAACTTGGCTGATTCAGGAAACAGAAAAAGGACCAATGGGGCTAACAACTGGTATGTGTCCGCTTCTATTTGAGCTCTTGGTCTGCATTTGCCCATTTAATCTTTGTAATAGTCCTATGGTAGCTACAATGATTATCCCTATTCTACGCATGAGGAAGGTGAGGCATGGGGAAGTTAAGTAACATGCCTAAGGCCACACAGCTAGTAAGTGACAATAGCTGGGATTGGGACCCAGGTGGTCTGACTCCAGAGTCTGTGCTCTCAATATGACCCTAAATTGCTGGGCTGCTTCATTTTAAAATCGTTGATTGGAGTATAATTTGCATACTTCAAAATCCCCCTCATTGTAAGTGTCCTACAATGATTTTTTAAAGTAAAATGGTGTACTGTATTTTTATGCAAACAACGCGCACGTTCTACATTTGTTTGCCAACTGCGCCCTCCCCCTTGAGGTATTTACATAAGCGCTGCTATGCCAGTTTTTTTTTTTTACATGTTGCTTACAAAAATACCTTGCAGGGAGGGCACGGCTGGCAAACAAACATAGAAGGTGCACGTTATTTGCATAAAAATACGGTAACTGAGCAACCATCACTATAATTCTGCTTTAAAGCATTTCCATCACCTTTAAGTTCCCTGGCGTCTATTTGCAGTCAATCCTGACTCCCCAGCCTTAGTCAGTCATTTATTTGTTTCTGATTCTATACTGTCACTTTTTCTAGAAATTTCATATAAACTGGGTCATAAATACATAGTTATTTGCTTCTTTCACTTACATAATCTTTTAGAGGGTCATCCATGTTGTTGCATGTATTTAATGCTGACTACTATTTCATTGCGTGGGTCTATTGCACTTTGTTTATCTATTCACCAATTTTTGGACATTTTGATTGTTTCTAGTTTTTAACTATTATGAATAAGGCTGTTATGAACATTTGTATACAAGTCTTTGTGTGGATATATGCCTTCATTTCTCTCAGGTAGATACCTCAGAGTAGAACTGCTGGGTCATGTCGTAGTGAACGTGCATTTGACACAGGAGCTGTGGGCAGCTGCCAAAGGTTTTTAAGCAGGGGACTGACACAACTGGATTCACGTTTTTAAATGTTTACACTAGCTTCTGGGGAGTAAACAGAAGGCTACACAAATGAACTCGCATCAAACCAAGAAACTTCTAGACTCCATGGTTGCCTTTTGAGTAGTGTCTTGAATGAGTACAGGGGCCTTTCTTCCTGGGGGTAGGGTAGGAACAGAAAGGAGGACAAAGAAGGAGCCAAAAACACCTCCAAGTACGTCCGAGATGATGGATCAAACTGGATCAGAGAATCTCAACCTTCGCTGTGCACCAGAATCTCCAGGGGAACTTAAAAAACAAACAAACAGACAAACAAAAAACACCACCAGCCAGGGCCCATTCACAGATGGTCTGATTCAGTTAGTCTAGGGTGGGGCCCAGGCATAAGTACTTTTTTAAAAACTCCTTGGGAGATTCTAATGCACAGGGAGGGTTTGATGCTAATGGTTGTCCGAATGGGGAGACTGAGGCCCAAAGACAGATGGTAAATGAAGCTGATGATACAGAGCCTCAGCAGCAGAGACAATTCAAGCCCAAGTCTCCCGATTCCTAGCTCAGTGTCTTTTGATGGCTGCAGATGCATGACCTCTTTTCACAAGGGCACTGGAGTCATTCATTCATCAAGGGATTTTCCAAATGCTTTATGTACCAAGTGCTATATTAGGCACTTTGTATGGGTCATATAAATGGTAGGTTGTGGAGCTGGGATTCATTCTTTTATTCATTCATTTATTTAACTGGATGATGCCTGGCTACCATTTCTGAACGTTCTGATCAAAGATTCTAAAGAAGAATCCTGATCAAAAGGGGGAAAAATTTGAACCAGAATTTCAATTCTCATGGAATCTGGATTTTCTGGAGCCATTAAGGCTGGATGAGCCCCCGAAACTACTACCCTGAGATAATCTTTAACCCTGAAACCATAAACCATACATTCCTTGAAGCTTTCTTTAGACCAAACAACAGTCTAGCTTAACTAGTAAAGAATGTCTGTGGTAAACACTGTGCTCTTTTAAAGAACTTACTATATGGGACCAAATTGTTAACAGAAACTTGAAAGGTTAGATGGGAAGCTTAAGGGGAAGTGAGTCTACGTCATAGGGGAAGAACAAATCAGAAAAGGAGGGTGAGAATGGCTGCACAATTTGAAGAATGTGATCACTGTCACTGTACTGTACATGTAGAAATCGTTGAATTGGTATATACTTTGTTGTGCACATTTTCAACAATAAAAAAGTGCTGGTATAGGGGAAAAACAACTTGAATAACAGCAGATTTCTCATCAGGAACTACGGAAGCCAGAAGGAAGTGGCACAACATTTTTCAAGTGTTGAAAGAAAAGAACTGTCAACCTAGAATCCTATATGCAGAGGAAATATCCTTCAAGAATGAAGAGGAAATCAAGAAATTCTCAGATGAAAGAAAACTAAGAGACTTTGTCACAGCAGACCTACCTTAAATGAATGGCTAAAGGAAGTTCTTGAAACAGAAAGGAAGTAATTAAAAAAAAAAAAAGAAAGAATGAAAAAAATCTTTGAACATCAGCAAGAAAGAAAGAACAAGAGAAAGAGTAAAAATATGGCTAAATAAAGTCACTTAAAATAGTTCATCTCCATTTGGTTATGCCACCAACTCAATATACAGTTTGGTTTGCTTGTTTCAGTTTGCTATCAATTTTTAGGAGTTACCCTTTCAAATGTGTTGTATAATTACATAAAATATTTACATGGTTCCAAAGTCAAATCTACAAAATAAACCATATTTGGAGAGAAAAATATGTTACTAGGAAGGCAGCAGAGAAGTAAGCCACCAGTAAGTGCTTTCCCAGGGAGCTCAGGGGCACAGCGGAGGACCCTGTAATGCCAACTGGAGAGGGGTAGGGACCGGGAAGTCTTCCTGGAGGAAAAAAAAAAAAGCAAACTGTTGCTGTCGAGTCGATTCTGACTCATAGCAACCCTACAGGACAGAGTAGAACTGCCCCATAGAATTTCCAAGGAGCACCTGGTGGATTTGAACTGCTGACCTTCTGGTTAGAGCTGTAGCTCTTAACTACTACGCCACCAGGAAATGACATCTAAACTAACCTCTGAAGGATGAGTAGGAGCTAGCGGGGTGAAGAGGGCAGGGACCAGGAGCTTGGCTGCACCCAGGCCTTCACTCCTGATCTCCACCACATGGGGGTCATTGAAGACCCACAAACCACAGAATTTGTCCACCAGTGTGGCATGCTGGGGCCCCTCTCTGCCCTCCACGGCCTGCTCAGACACATCTGGCAGAAGGTCTAGGCCAACCTATTCCATTCAAGGTCCGATGGCTTGGTCCTAGTTACCACGGCAACCCTGCCTGGTAGGAAGCTTAGCTGGGTGTTTAGCTTAGGAATCTGTCTCACTGAACCCTGGGTGTAGTATATTCTCTTCTGATTTCTTTTCTTTTGTGTCAACCATCTGAATGATGACTTAGGGCAGGTTTGCAAGCAGCCCACAGCCTTGTCCCTCGGCATTTGTTCCCCCAAATAACCTCTTGTTTGCTTTCACTTTGTAACCCAGGGTCGCCTGAGGAATGGACATCTGAACGAACTGCAATGTGCCAAGGGCAGTGACAAAGCCCCTGCAGTGGGAAATCCATGCTGTGTCAGAGAAGACCCAGGAGGAAGGGGTAGGTAGACCCAGAAGTCTTGTGCCACAGTACGGGTTTTTGGAGGGGTTTTGCAAAGGGTTTTGGAGGGGTTTTGCAAAGGGACCCACCTTGGTGCAGGAATGCTAAACACCCACCTTTGTCTCCCTTCTGGCTGTTGGAATGTCCAGTGAGTTCCAGGGAAGGCAACATAAGGTCAGGAAAACAGCCTCTCTTAACATGATGGTGGTGGGTCTTGCTAGGGGTTCCCCAATATTCATTCACTCCTTCTCTCTCATTGTAATAGAATCTCTGCTTTTAAGCTGGGCACATGACTGCTTAGAACAAATACTACATTTCCCAGTCTCCCTTGTGGCTAAGTGTGGCCATGTGGTGAGTTCTAGATGAGGAATGGGAGTAGAATTAATGTGTGCAACTTCCTGTGCCCTTAGAGGCAAGGATGGGTCCTCCCTTGCCCCTTTTCTGCTGGCTGGAATGGGGCCAGCTTGGATGACATCACCAAGCAACAGGATGGACGGAGCCTGGACTCTAGTCACATCTGCAGACCAGAACTGCCCTGTTAGCTTGGCCTTTTAGGTGA